AACTTGCCTGCTGCTATTTACCAGAGATTCCTGGTGATTGGGTAAAAGGAGTCCAATAAGGAGCTGTGAAAAAAAGAGTGGCGTGGCGAAAGGTCAAAGTTTGAGGCTTAGCCACGCCCACACCTTTATACTTATTTAAAATCCGACGGTTGAATTTTTTCCTCTATGTCTTAAGACTATATAGCAGAAGTTTGAAAGTGATTGGTGAAAAGGGCGACGGAGTATCACTCTCCAAACAACGTGTGTGAAAACCACTAAATCGCGCACTTGGACCAAAATGGCCGACTTCCTGTGCGACTTTGCACTTGGCTTCAAGAGACTTTTTTGTAGGTCCTGAGACACCACATTAGTGTACCAAATTTCGTAATCCTCAGTCAAAGCATGGCTTGGGGCTGACAGTTTTAATGGTCCTAGGGGGCGCTATTTCAGAAAATAGGCCACGCCCACCAGATGTTCACATCAGATCTTTTGGGGGGCCGGACTAGGATCACTCACAAGAAGTTTCGTGACGATATCTTTGGAAATGACGAAATGGGAGGCAAACGTAAGGCCAAGGCGGTACGCCTGAATTCGCCGCGCCGCCACAGCCCCGCCCTCTGCCGAAAACTCCCATAAAGTGACGCCAAGCAACCCCCACTTGTCTTGAGTTACCAGCTACAAATTTGTGGTGATTAAGTGAAATGGGGCAATTTGGGACCTTTCACAGTAAAACTTGATCTTTTTGGTCCTGAGGGGGCGGGGCTTGTGTGATGTCATCATCCGACCATTCAGTTTACTTTGGGGGTGGATGACGAATGACCACAGAAAGTTTGGTAACTCTATTCCATTCAGTTATGAAGTTATAGCAATTTAAATATTTTTGGCGAGTAGTCAAACTTCGAGGCCTGGCTCCGCCCCTTCAACATATACGAAAACTCAGAATCCTTATCTCATTTTGTTCGCCCATCCCTTCTGAGCAATTTTACACAATTTTTGAGACGATCGTGCGAAAAATGATCGAGCAATCCAATCAGAAACGGACCCTAAAAACGGCAAAAACGGCAAAAAATCGCCATTTCAACCCAAAATGGCCGACTTCCTGTTTGATATTGACCATGGTTGCAAGAGACTTTTCTGTGCGGACTGTTGAGTACTACAAGTGTACCAAATTTCATAACTGTACGATAAACTAAGCTTTATGGAGAGGGTTTTTTTTCACTTTGTAGGGGGCGCTGTTCAGCCATTTTCTTTGCGATTTTTTTGGGACCTTTAAAATATCAAATTTTTCACCAGGCCTGACAAGTGTGCAAAATATTGTGAGTTTTGGGGTATGTTAAGGTCCCCAAAAAGCTGTTCAAAGGGGGCACGGAATAACAAAAAATAATTAAAGCTGCAAGCAGCGTCGTTCGGCCCTCGCAGCTCCGCGCCGCTCCGGCCTGGCCGACAGCACGGGGCACCAGGGCACGTCTGGCAGAACAGAAACGTCAACCACCCCGACACTAGAAACCGCAAATGGCCTCCTAGTCCGCACCTCACCCTTACTCAGCATCCCCTCTGAGCTCACCATTAAATTGAATTGTAAGGTTGCGGCGTTACGCCAGAATTCGCCATGGCATCAAAGCCCCTCCCTTTCTGGAAAGCTATCAGATCTGAATGGTCAATACATTATCATGAAGACAGTGCATGACCTTGGTGTCATGTTGACTAAATTAGAGGGGACAAATATGGGCATTTCAGCATAAAAAAATAGACTTCCTGTAGTCAGGGGGCGGGGCTTAGGTGATGTCAGCTGTCCACATTGTCATTTTTTACAGATATGGTCAATGATCACACAGACAAAGTTTGAAAAAGATCCGATCTTGCACATGGGAGTTATTAAGTCAAGTAATGTAATGGCGAAAGGTCAAAGTTTGAGGCTTAGCCACGCCCACACCTTTCAACTTTTGAAAAATGCGACGGTTGAATTTTTTCCCCTACGTCTTAAGAGTATATAGTAGAAGTTTGAAAGTGATTGGTGAAAAGGGCGACGGAGCATCACTCTCCAAACAACGTGTGCGAAAACCACTAAATCGCGTACTTGGACCAAAATGGCCGACTTCCTGTGCGACTTTACGCTTGGCTCCAAGAGACTTTTTTGTAGGACCTGAGACCCCACATTAGTGTACCAAATTTCGTAATCTTCAGTCAAAGCATGGCTTGGGGCTATTAGTTTAAATGGTCCTAGGGGGCGCTATTTAAGAAAATAGGCCACGCCCACAAATTTCAGCTATGTTTGTCTCCTGGGGGTCAGACAAGGATCACTTAAAAGAAGTTTCGTAGCGCTATCACAATAACTGAAGAAATGAGAGGCAAACGTATTTCCATGATGTGATGGTGATTTTCGCCATGCTGCCAAAGCCCCGCCTTTACTCGAAACCTGCCAGTACTGGATACCAAGTGACCTCAAGTTGTCTACTGCTATTTGCCAGAGATTATTGGTGATTGGGTAAAAGGAGTCCAATAGGAAGCTGTGAAAAAAAGAGTGGTGTGGCGAAAGGTCAAAGTTTGAGGCTTAGCCACGCCCACACCTTTCAACTTTTGAAAAATCCGACGGTTGAATTTTCCCCCCCATGTCTTAAGAGTATATAGCAGAAGTTTGAAGGTGATTGGTGAAAAGGGGGACGGAGCATCACTCTCCAAACAACGTGTGCGAAAACCACTAGTTCGAGTACTTGGACCAAAATGGCCGACTTCCTGTGCGAGTTTTTGCCTGGCTCCAAGAGACTTTTTTTTAGGTCCTGAGACACCACATTAGTGTACCAAATTTCGTAATCCTCAGTCAAAGCATGGCTTGGGGCTGACAGTTTTTATATCTCTAGGGGGCGCTGTTTCAGAAAATAGGCCACGCCCACAAACTTCAGCTTTTTATTTCTCTTGGGGCTCAGACTAGGATCACTCACCAGAAGTTTCGTAGCGATATCACGATAACTGAAGAAATGAGAGGCAAACGTATTTCCATGGCGTGATGACGATTTTCGCCATGCTCCCAAAGCCCCGCCTTTTTTCGAAACCTGCCAGTACTGGAGACCAAGTAACCTCAACTTGTCTACTGCTGTTTGCCACAGAATCCTGGTGATTGGGTAAAAGGAGTCCAGTAGGGAGCTGTGAAAAAAAGAGTGGCGTGGCGACAGGTCAAAGTTTGAGGCTTAGCCACGCCCACACCTTTCAACTTTTGAAAAATCCGACGGTTGAATTTTTTCCCCTATGACTTAAGAGCATATGGCAGAAGTTTGAAGGAGATTGGTGAAAAGGACGACGGAGCATCACTCTCCAAACAACGTGTGCGAAAACCACTAAATCGCGTACTTGGACCAAAATGGCCGACTTCCTGTACGACTTTGCACTTGGGTCCAAGAGACTTTTTTGTAGGTCCTGAGACACCACATTAGTGTACCAAATTTCGTAATCCTCAGTCAAAGCATGGCTTGGGGCTGACAGTTTTAATGGTCCTAGGGGGCGCTATTTCAGAAAATAGGCCACGCCCACCGGATGTTCACATCAGATCTTTTGGGGGGCCGGACTAGGATCACTCACAAGAAGTTTCGTGACGATATTTTTAGAAATGACGAAATGGGAGGCAAACGTAAGGCCACGGCGGTACGCCTGACTTCGCCGCGCCGCCACAGCGCCGCCCTCTGTCGAAAACTCCCATAAAGTGACGCCAAGCAACCCTCACTTGTCTTGAGTTAACAGCTACAAATTTGTGGGGATTGAGTGAAATGGGGCCATTTGGGACCTTTCATAGTAAAACTTGACCTTTTAGGTCCTGAGGGGGCGGGGCTTGTGTGATGTCATCATCCGACCATTCATTTTACTTTGTGGGTAGATGACGAATGACCACAGAAAGTTTGGTAACTCTATTCCATTCAATTATGAAGTTATAGCAGTTTTAATTTTTTTGGCGAGTAGTCAAACTTCGAGGCCTGGCCCCGCCCCTTCAACATATACGAAAACTCAGAATCCTTGTCTCATTTTGTTCGGCCATTTCTTCTGAGCAATTTTATACCATTTTTGAGACGATCGTGCGAAAAATGATCGAGCAATCCAATCAGAAACTGACCCTAAAAACGGCAAAAACGGCCAAAAATCGCCATTTCAACCCAAAATGGCCGACTTCCTGTTTGATATTGACCATGCTTGCAAGAGACTTTTCTGTGCGGACTGTTGAGTACTACAAGTGTACCAAATTTCATAACTGTACGATAAACTAAGCTTTATGGCGAGGGGTTTTTTTCACATTGTAGGGGGCGCTGTTCAGCCATTTTCTTTGCGATTTTTTTGGGACCTTTCAAATATCAAATTTTTCACCAGGCCTGACAATTTTGCAAAATATTGTGAGTTTTGGGGTATGTTAAGGTCCCCAAAAAGCCATTCAAAGGGGGCACGGAATAACAAAAAAAGAAAGAATAATAATCGGAGCAAAAACAAGAGGCCTTCGCAGCGCTTTCGCTGCTCGGGCCTAAAAATGGGTGCTTGAACAGCGGGCTGCTGGGAGAGGCTTATCAGCGGTGCAGTTAGGTCTCCACGCCCAGGTAGTTGCCAAGGCGATGAATATCAACTACTTTGAGGGAGGTCCTTCTTGGTGTTACCACTTCATGCAACGCAATCGGCTCTCTATCACAGCACGGACAACGGTGTCCCAAAATCTGCCAGCAGGCTTCCAAGCCAGGGTTGATGGTTTCGGTGAGTTTGTTGAAAAGCAAATAACCGAGCAGAACATGACACCGGATCTTATTATCAATATGGACGAGGTTCCCCTCACATTTGGCATCCCCATGGGGCCAAAGTGTTGGAGAAAAAGTGCAAAAAAGTGTGAATATTGTGACAACTGGTCATGAGAAATCACACCTCACTGTGGTGCTGGCATGTTATGGAGCAAAACCAAAACATTTGTTTCAACAGTTAACCTCTGATCACTAGCTCCCCTATACAGGAAGGCTGTGGTTGGAGGGATTTTAACTCACCTCTGTACCCTCTCTCAGAGATCAACTTCATCAAACAGGCCAAGGAGCAGCAGGCTGCCAAGGCCCGGAGGCAGGCCACGCCTGTGGTGGGAGACATGAGGCCTCTAGCTGACGCTTTGCCCGAGCTTTGCCAGCTCATCAGTCCTGTAGCTGCAGCTCCTGCACCCCGCACCAAGACGAGGAAAAGCAAAACGCAAGTCCCACACTAAGACCAAGCATCAACACAACCATGTCCCATTCTGACTTCTGTCAGAACGTAGTTGAGCATGAAGGACTCAGCAGTCGCACAAATGGACTGAACATTTTTCTCAAAGTGACAGTCTCTCTCCTCTTGTTAGGCCTGTGAGGAGACCTCAGCCCACTGACTTCAGCCAGATGAAACAGTCCCAGAAACGTAAACTCCTGTACGTTTCTCCCCCCGACTGTTTTTTCTTTTTTTTTTTTTTTTTTTTTGTATTTGCTGTCTGAACCGTTTTAATGTGAGCTAATTATGTTCCTGTTGTAGAGAAACTGAGACCAGCTGGTTCAGCAAAGCTGTAAAGACACTCGCCTCCAAGAAGAACCCTCTGGTGGACATCGGGGAGCAGCTGAGGAAGAGGATGAGGCAGGAGGAAGAGCAGGGGTCCAGTTAACAAATACTGGGTGCTAAGACAGGATTGTGTGTGTGTGTGTGTGTGTGTGTGTGTGTGTGTGTGTGTGTGTGTGTGTGTGTGTGTGTGTGTGTGTGTGTGTGTGTGTGTGTGTGTGTGTGTGTGTGTGTGTGTGTGTGTGTGTGTGCACTTGTCTTTATGGGTTTGTGTGGACCAACCCCTGACGGGAGACCCACATTGTGTGGACATTCACCATTGTGTGGGCATTTACCCGGTCCACACAACCAAAATCCTAGAGGAAGCTTCCTTTGTCCCACCTAGAGTTAAACATCATGTTTGCACCATTCTGGCTATAGTGGAAGTCAGGGTCCACACAAACAACTCAGAAAACGTAGTCCACACAAACCCATAAAAACGTGTGTGTGTGTGTGTGTGTGTGTGTGTGTGTGTGTGTGTGTGTGTGTGTGTGTGTGTGTGTGTGTGTGTGTGTGTGTGTGTGTGTGTGTGTGTGTGTGTGTGTGTGTGTGTGTGTGTGTGTGTGTGTGTGTGTGTGTGTTACAGTTTTGTAATAAACTGACCCATCTCTGGCTCCAGTGTATTTTCTCTTCCTTTGAAAGAACTTGTGTGTTTAGTGTTTCTGCATCATGTCTGCAGCAAACTCCACTTCGTGGGACTTCCTCCAGAACTGCAGCAGCTGTTCTGTGTTTGGGAGTCGTGTTGCTGGATGTGTGTTTAATACACCTCTCTGAAGGAGTTGTGGAGCTTCATCACAACGCCCTACGCTTCTGGGCGGCGATGGCACAGTCCTTGCCTCGTAATCGGAAGGTTGCATGTTTGAGCCCTCGTTGTGTCCTTGGGCAAGACTTTTAACCCACCTTGCCTGCTGGTGGTGTTCGGAGGGACTGGTGGTGCCTGTGTATGGCAGACTCGCCTCTGTCAGTGTGCCCCAGGGCAGCTGTGGCTACAAGTCAAGTCGCTTTATTTATAATGCACTTTAACACACCCGACAGTGAGACCAACATAAAACAATCACACAATCGACAATTCTAAAATAAAACACTAAATTAGGATATAAATACCCGGCATAGCAATAAAAATGTTGACGGCAAGTTCATCTTAATAAAAGGCTGAAGAAAAGTAGCCTTTTCAAGCGATGGGGATGGAGCCTGTCTAACATCCATGGGCAGGTTATTCCACAGTGTTGGAGCCACAATGGAAAACGCACTACGCCCTTGAGATTTGAGTTTAGCCTGAGGAACGTTCAGTAAGTTCTGGTCAGGTGAGCGAAGTGACCGAGTCTGGACATAATCAGCAAGTGTATCTCACATGTGGGAGCGATGTTCAGGGCCTTCTAGGCAAGGAGTAAGGTTATACGTTTTAAGATTATTTACAAGCTCATCACCACCAGAGTGTGAATGACTGATTGTGTTGTAAAGTGCCTTGGGGGGTTTCAGGACCCTAGAAGACACTGTCTACAGGCCATTTACCATTTCTGGGGCATGAACTCAGTCTACTCAAACCTAGGTTCTTTTATTTTGTTTAGGGTGATTATATTTTCAGAGGAGGTGAATCTTTGGTGTGAAATGTTGAAATGACAGGATGAAGTCGGAGCTGCCCCCCTCCCTGCTTGGTGTTGATCTATGATTAGATCAGAAGTAAGACAAACCTGATCAATACACGTGTCAGTGCTCCACATAGGCCATTAGCGCTCATTAATAATACATCCTACGGGAAGAGCTCAGTGTCAAATTAAAAGTCAGGAGCTCTAGATTGCATTAGCAAACGGGGGAAAGAGTTTGATTTGTCAGCCTGAGTTGCTGGTCTTCCATCATGGCTGCAGTCATTTGGAGGCATTTGATTCAACGTTGTGAAGTTTAAAGCCAGATAGGAGTTCTCTGACTCAGTATCACTGACAGAACAGCAGCTTTAGAAGGTCAGAACCACCAAAATGAATGATGCACAACCAACTCCAACCTCCTCCAGCGGCACTGATTTCATTTTACAGCTTTTGTTTGTGTGTTTTTTGGTCTTTCAGCAGCCAAAGACTGAAGGAAAGAATATTTCAGATTGTCTGAATGACTGCTGATCAAAACGATGTTGCAGTGTGATCCACTGTGAGGCCCATGACACCTGGAGTAACCACTCAGCTGTTCCTGATTAGAAACACGACTCTAATAGAAAATAGAATAAAACTAGACTGCAGCAGCAATCGTTTGATGCATTTCATGTATTTTCTGTTGTTCCACAGCTGGTCCCACTTCCAAGAGCCACAGCTTCTAACAGCATTTCATTCTGAGTGAGTGGATCAGTGGACAAGAGAAAGTCAGGTCTAACCTCCACAGACCCCATTAGCCTTGGGTTCAGTTTTAATCCAAACGCTCTTAAACTGACTTTACTAACCAAATTGTTTTCTGTTGCATTTTAAATGTTAAATGAATTTAGTTATATTGGAACCAATGTGTTGGCCTCATCCCTTCTTCTGACTTCAAGAGTCATTTAATGAATGACTAAATAATTCAGCTGTTTGAAATTTGGAAAAACAGAGAAAAGTCTGGATGACTGCTGATCCAAACTATAACAACACCGGCAGGTCTGGCTTCTTACATTAAAAAAAAAACATTGGCTTGAAACTTTTGCATCAAGATGTCAATAAAAAGTTTAATAAAAATTGAAATGTTTGAAGAATGTCCCAAATCTGGCTTTGTTAGATAAATAGTTTTATAATATTTTTTTCTTTTAGGGACTATCAACAAATGTCCAATTTGTTCAAAACAAATAGTCAAAAAATCTGTAGCTTCCGATCAGTTTCTAATTGTGTTAATATAGTGGACTGAATAGACCCAGCAACATATTTCATAAAATATCTTTTTTTTAATTTAAATTATTATTTTTTTTTTTTTGAAAATTATGGATTGTAGCCCCAAATCAAGCCTGTGCCTAAACTTGTTGGTGGACTGGTTCTGTTAATGAAATAGAGATGGTAAAACCCTGGATGCAGTACTATTATTGTACAATAGGTGAGCCATCGCCCACCTGTTTTCATCTCAGCCAGTTAGATAGATCTTGTCATCTTCAGAGTTCTGTAGCAACTACAGGTGCTGGCCAGTAAATTAGAATATCATCAAAAGGTTGAAAATATTTCAGTAATTCCATTCAAAACGTGAAACTTGTACATTATATTCATGCAATGCACACAGACCAATGTATTTCCAATGTTCATTACATTTAAATTTGATATTCATAAGTGACAACTAATGAAAACTCCAAATTTGGTATCTCAAAAAATTAGAATATTCTGAAAAGGCTGAATATAGAAGACACCTGCTGCCACTCTAATCAGCTGATTTAATCAAAACACCTGCAAAGGCCTTTAAAAGGTCCCTCAGTCTTGTTTTGAAGGCACCACAATCATGGGGAAGACTTCTGACTTAACAGCTGTCCAAAAGACAATCATTGACACCTTGCACAAGGAGGGCAAGACACAAAAGGTGATTGCTAAAGAAGCTGGCTGTTCGCAGAGCTCTGTGTCCAAGCACATTAACAGACAGGCGAAGGGACGGAAAAAATGTGGTAGAAAAAAGTGTACAAGCTCTAGGGATAACCGCACCCTGCAGAGAATTGTGACGACAAACCCATTCAAAAATGTGGGGGAGATCCACAAAGAGTGGACTGCAGCTGGAGTCAGCGCTTCAAGAACCACCACGAGGAGACTCATGAAAGACATGGGATTCAGGTGTCGCATTCCGTGTGTCAAGCCACTCTTGAACAAGAAACAGCGCAAGAAGCGTCTCGCCTGGGCCAAGGACAAAAAGGACTGGACTGATGCTGAGTGGTCCAAAGTTATGTTTTCTGATGAAAGCAAGTTCTGCATTTCCTTTGGAAATCAAGGACCCAGAGTCTGGAGGAAGAGCGGAGAAGCACAGAATCCACGTTGCATGAGGTCCAGTGTAAAGTTTCCACCGTCAGTGATGGTGTGGGGTGCCATGTAATCTGCCGGTGTTGGCCCACTCTGTTTCCTGAGGTCCAGGGTCAATGCAGCCATCTACCAGGAAGTTTTAGAGCACTTCATGCTTCCTGCTGCTGACCAACTTTATGGGGATGCAGACTTCACCTTTCAACAGGACTTGGCACCTGCACACAGTGCCAAAACCACCAGCACCTGGTTCAAGGACCATGGTATCCCTGTCCTTGATTGGCCAGCAAACTCGCCTGACCTTAACCCCATAGAAAATCTATGGGGTATTGTGAAGCGGAGGATGCAATACGCTAGACCCAACAATGCAGAGGAGCTGAAGACGACTATCAGAGCAACCTGGGCTCTCATAACACCTGAGCAGTGCCACAGACTGATCGAGTCCATGCCACGCCGCATTACTGCAGTTATTGAGGCAAAAGGAGCCCCGACTAAGTATTGAGTGCTATACATGCACATTCTTTTCATGTTCATTCTTTTCAGTTGGCCAACATTAGAGAAACAAACATTTTTTCATTGGCCTTTAGAATATTCTAATTTTCTGAGATACCAGATTTGATGTTTTCATTGGTTGTCACCTATAAATATCAAAATTAAACGTAATAAACATCGGAAATACATTGGTCTGTGTGCATTGCATGAATATAATGTACAAGTTTCACGTTTTGAATGGAATTACTGAAATATTTTCAACCTTTTGATGATATTCTAATTTACTGGCCAGCACCTGTAGTACCTCACCAATCCATTCTTCCACCAGACCTGCCCCAGCGGCTCTTGCATCTTCCTCCTCTTCCAAACTGCTGCCTCTTTGACACCACACACACACACATCTCCATCGTCATCTTCCTCGTCTCTCAAAGAGAGAGACTATTTTACACACCCTCCCAATCACACATAATAAATTCAGAGATTGCTTCTCCTTAAACTCCCACTGCACCGTGGACCACCACCCTACCCTCTCACAGAAGATGAGGTTACTCCCTCTCTACAATTATGAAGGTGGACGTCACGCTCAAGAGGCTTCGCCTTGAGAAAGCTGCAGCCCCGGATGATTTCTATCTGCAGCTGATGAGAGTCTGCGCTACACTACTGGCTAAGCCGCTACTGAGGATGTTCAATGTGATCAAACGGGCAAGGTCCCGGTTTTGTGGAAAACATCTCGCCTGGTTCTGATACTCCAGGCTGGGTGCCTGGCTGAGATCAATGCTCACACACCAGTAGCCCTCACGTAACCTAAGAAATAAGTGCTCGAACTATGTATTGTGTAATAATGCATCTATCCACGAAGCAGGCAGCTAAGATTGGTGAATACGTCTCATCCCTGACACCATCTATTCAAGGTGTAGTTTTCTGGCAGGAGATTGAGGTCCATCAGAACCAGACTCATGACAGAGAGTGTTTCCTCCTCTGCTGCCATACTCATTAGAGTCAGAGCCCTAATTCCTGTAGCTGCATGATACTAATCTGTTTCTACTTGGCAGACAAGATGCTCAATTCAGCATGAGTGTCCCTTTCTGAAATCACTGACAAACATGAAGAACTTTCTCACAGCAGAATAGAATAGAATAAAATAGAAAATATCTCTTTGCTGTCTCATCGGGCAAGAGAACTGCAAATTCACAGCAGGAGTAATAACAGGAGGGTAAAAATAGAGAATAAAGAGAAAGAAAAAAGTAAACAAACAGACAATATGTTAACATAACACAAATACTGAGCACATTTTAATAAATAAAAACATGTTTTATCAAGTATTTTAGATGTACACTTCTGTACATCTCCTCATTAGTTTTGTTCAGTAACACAATTCTTCATTGATTTGTGGTCTTTGGTCACATGACCCAGAAACTGTTAAGCAACCCATAATTTTCTATTAAAATATTCAGAAAACGATCAGATTCTATAAAAAATTGCTGTCATTCTACTGCAGGCGTTGATTTAATTTTGATCACGTGACCTGAAGCTACTAATTCTGTTTGTCTTTGCGTTTCGACCAATGGGATTTGTTGATGGTCCCTAAATCAGGCTCTGCAAGAAGCTGGAGGCGAGCAGTCTACCGTCGCTGTGTGGACCGGTTCTGTTTACTAACTCCGCCCACAGTTTTACTCCTGTTCAATCAGGAAGCAGCTCGGTGACCTGACGGACCGGACCGAGGTGCTGCAGTGTCCGCCGGTGAGCTTCAGAGTTCAGCTCTCCAACACCTGGAAAGGTCCCATCGGAACCACCTGCTCAGCCTCACAGTAAGTTCTCCCGCAGAAGCTCGTTTCAAAGGATTCCGTGACAAAGAAAGATTATTATTATTAGTATTATTATTATTATTATTAATAATAATATTAATATTATTAATATTAATATTATTCACACTGAAAACGAGTGTTTACTGTAAAACGAATCAAACGGTCTCCTTGTGTCAGGAACAGAATCTGGTTTGGGTCTGACGGAACCAGACGGGATAAGAATAAACGAAATGTTTAATGAAAAGTAAAAAAAAAAAAAAAAATGGATTTGTTAAAAAAAACCTTATTAACTCAAATAAAACTAAGAAATTATATTATATTATATTATATTATATTATATTATATTATATTATATTATATTATATTATATTATATTGTAGTACCAATAAATCTAAATAATTATAAACTAAAATAAACCTTAATCAAATAAAAATGAAAAAAATTAACTGAAACCAACAGTAAAAAAACTAATAGCTGAAACATAATTCAACTTGCATTATTATTATTGTTATTATTATTATTATTATTATTATTAAAGTTGTATTTTCCTTGGTTGAACTGATCCTGAGTGGATGAACAAACACCATGAGGAAATATTAGTAAAATTTAGTTTTAATTTGTTTAAGTGAAAAATACTTGTGCTTAAACAGCAGAGAGTGAGTTTCTCCTCCAACACTGAGCTGTGCTCTCAGACACCACTAAACGGCTCTCTCAGGCTTTAACAGCATCATTTAAAATGTGAACCAGAACCAGCTGTTTAATGCAGACTGGATTCAAATGGAAACATTTTTTTATGTTTTGTTGCTAAAACCAGCGAGTTTTCTGACATTTAGGATCTGTTTTAGATGACGTGGCTGTTTGGTTCCTGTCAGGTGTAAGGTGGGTTGGTGAACATTGGGTTTGATGAATTTGCTGATTTCTGCCTTTGCTGGAATTCTTCTAAACCTTCAATAGAGTCTATTATAATTCTGGGAGTTTTACAAGTAAATCCTGTCGAGTTTCTGTCTGGATCCTGCTTCGGGAACAGTTGGTGGTTATTTGGTGGAGCTGGTGGAGGCAGCAGGATGTGGTCTTTACAAGTCCACCAGGGTTTTAGTTCATACATTCACCACTCATCAGGGTGTGACCAGATGACCTGAGATGATTCATTTCATAAAGAAAAACACAACCAGTGAAGCTGAAATTTAATAGAGACTGAGCCATGGGTGTTCCACTAGTAGACAAAGATGGTCTGTTTGGAACCAGCACCAAAAAAGTAACTGGCCCCCAAAAACCTGATTTATTTATCACTGAAATGTAGAAGAAGAGAGGATGTCTTCTACCAGACTGGAGACAAGTGGAACCATAATCAGCAGAGAACATTGAATCATCACCTCATGAAGGAAACTGATTGATTCAGAAAAGGGTAGAATGCCTTCTCCGGGTCAGGGATGAGGTCCTGCCTCAAGTGGAGGAGTTTAAGTATCGCGGGGTCTTGTTTACGAATGAGGGAAAACTGGAGCACAAGATCGATAGGCGGATCGGTGCTGCATCTGCAGTGATGCTGGTGTTGTACCGGTCTGTAGTGGTGAAGAGAGAGCTGAGCTGGAAGGCGAAGCTCTCAATTTCCCGCCGATCTACATTCCTACCATCACCTATGGTCATGAGCTTTGGATAGTGACCAAAAGAACGAGATCACGGATACAAGCAACAGAAATGAGTTTCCTCCACAGGGTGGCTGGGCTCTCCCTTAGAGATAGGGTGAGACGCTTGGTCATCTGGGAGGGGCTCAGAGTAGATCTGCTGCTCATCCACATTGAGAGAAGCCAGTTGAGGTGGTTCGGGTATCTGTCAGGATGCCTCCTGGACGCCTCCCTGGTGAGGTTTTCTGGGCACGTCCAACTGGGGGGACACCTAAAGGGAGACCCATGACACAATGGATGGACTATGTCTCTCACCTGGCCAGGGAACGCCTTGGGATTCCCCCAGAGGAGTTAGCCCAAGTGGCTGGGGAGAGGGAAGTCTGGGCCTCTGGACTTTAGGCTCCTGCCCCCGCTACCCGACTCCGGATAAGCGGAAGAAAATGGATGGATGGATGAAACAGCATGGGACAGGGTTCAAGTAAACCATAACCCATTAAGAAATGATCCAGCTGGTATTCTGTAATGAATTTATTGTCCGTTTTGATACAAATGTCACACATACAGAAACATTTACATTTCAATCATCACGGATCGGCAGTGCATCATGTAGAAACGGAAAGGACCAAAACGTCAGAAAACAGAAGAAACAACACAGTGAATGAAGCCCTTGGCTGGTTTATTTTCTCTAAAGTAGGACACTTGGGGTGAGGGGTGGTGGTTCTAGGACTCCAGATAAAAGGTGCTTTATAAATACAGGCCATTTCTGACCATTTAGGTCCAACTCCAATTCAATTCAAGTGTATAACTACTGATTCCAGAGGGAAATGTAATGTTGTTATGACTTATTCATCCATCCATCCATCCATCCATCCATCCATCCATCCATCCGTTCCACTTATCGGGGGTCAGGTCGCGGGGGCAGTAGCCTTAAGCTTGGTTTATGCTTGACACATTTACTTTCAGCTTGGTGATGCGTCTCGCGGATGGAACGCGCTTCACAACTCGCAGCGTTTATGGTTCATGCGGCTTGTCTCTGAGGTGAGCCAATATTCTCCCAAACTGTAGGGGGCAGCATGGAGCTCTACGGCATGCATCCAACACTACACCATAGTAGAAGTAAAAATTACTGTTGTTTACAACATGGCATTCCAGCATTTTTAACAGCGTCCTCATCTTTTCTGACAGTGCGAGCTATTTCTCTCCAAGAATTATTAACAACATGTTGATCACGGTGATCTTTGAGAGCTGAATCATACAAATGTCTGTATTTACGAACCTCTGCCATACTAGTTCTTGCCAGTCCGCCATGTTTTTCCACGTTCGACCATCCGTGTGGTTAGAAAATTTCCTAGGTGCGCAGTGTTGAAATTTTGGGCCGTGCGGCGGTGCGGTGGAGGGGCGTGGTTGTTAATATCACGCAATTTCGCCGCGCAGACCTCGCGGAAGCGTCAAGCATAAACCAACCTTGAGGCGAGAGGCCCAGACTTCCCTCTCCCAAGGCCAGCTGCTCTGGGGGAATCCTAAGGCGTTCCGTGGCCAGGTGAGAGACAGTTTCTCCAGCGTGTCCTGGGTCTTTCTTTAGGTCTTCTACCAGTT